AAGGAATATTTTAAGTTTCTTACTTTGTTACTTATTTTATTTATCTAGTAAATATCTTATAAATTTTTACACGAACATTTCTCAGGGGTACTCAACTACAAGACCGTATGGTCTTCTACGAGTCCCTGCGTTCCTTTAATATTTAATAACAATCATTATATATATATATATATATATATATATATATATATATATATATATATATATATATATATATATATATATATATATATATATATATATATATATATATATATATATATATATATATATATATATATATATATATATATATATATATATATATATATATATATATATATATATATATATATATATATATATATGTATATATTTATTATTATTTATTTGTATTTTAAATATTGTAACAAAATGCTTATTTAAAATGTAATAAAAAGAACAAAAAAAAAAAAAAAAAAAAAGATGAGTCGTTAAATTCTTTAGTTTTCTTAAAATATTTTTACCATAAAAATAAATCTTTATAAGTTTTATTTCAAAATATAAACATAATGTTTGAACATTTTGTTTAAATAACTTTTTTATTAAGTAATTCAAGATATACTTACATAAGTTTTATTATTTAACAAGAAAAACCGAAAATCACGGTTAACTGCGTTTTTTTTTTTTTAAATAAAACCAAAACCGCGGTTTTTAATAAATGCGGTTTTTCGGAAACCCAAGAGTCAATGAAAATATTACTATTTATTCCATCATGATAAATAGATTTATTTATTTTTAACATTTAAAAAGATTTTTTGAATTTCTCAAAGGAAAGTTCATAAGATGTTAAGGTCGATTATATCGACCTTAAAATTAAACGTTGTAAGCATCTATTAAGTTAATGACAATAGGAGTTTTTTTAGCTAAAATTTTTTTTGCAGTTATTTTAGGTGCTCCCAAAAGTCCTAACAATCTTATCACAGAGCACCGCGGAAGAGCATTTAACAAGAAGTTCATGCCTCCTTCCGTACCCTAAAAAAAGAAGTTCATGCCTCCTTCTTTTTAAACCCTAAAAAAACTATTAGTAAATAAAACTACTAGCAGGGCCGGCACGAGTAGATATCACGTTAGGGGGGATCTGCTATTAAAGTTATTGCTTAACAATTAAAAAGACCTCAAATTAAGTGGTCCTTGTTCTTCGAAATTTACTGACTGACTGGTTTAAAAGATCTACATTTGCCGACTGATTTGTATATAAGGGTCAAATTTGCCGACTAAATGAAAGAAAAAAAAGACTAAAAGAAAAAAAAAAAAAAACATGCAACTCATGGAGAAATTAGTCGTAGATATAAAAAATAAAGTAGAAAAACTCAATTGAAATAACAAATAATACCCATTGAATGAAGATTACTTGACCATATATTTTGATTTTGAGAAAGTGAAGTTTATCAAAAAATCACAGACAAAAGATCACGTTGTCTCAACAATTACGATGTTATTCTGACCAAAAGTGTGTGTTGCTCGGGAAAGTCCCGAAAAAATTCCCAAAGCTCTCATGTACTAACTATAGACCAATTTCAATTCTTTCTAACGTTAGCAAGCTCCTTGAAAAACTAATGTACTGTAGATTATACTCGTTTTTGAATTCCTTTAACTGTTTAAGTAAATTTCAGTTTAGATTTCGATCAAAACACTCTACTTGCCAAACTTTAATAAGTATAACAGAAAAAATAAAAAAAGACACTGGATACTGGTTACAATTTGTAGGTGGTGTTTTTATCAACATACAAAAAGCGTTCAAGACCGTTATTCATAGCGTTTTAATTTCTAAACTTGAACGTTACGGAATCCGAGGAGTTTCTTGTAACTAGTTTCAATCTTATCTTTTAAATCGAAAGCAGTTTGTTAGCATTAATGGTTTTAAATCATATAACAAACATAAACTTGTAGTGTTCCCCAGGGTTCTGTTCTTATCCCTTTATTGTTTTTGATATATATTAATAATCTAAATAACTCTGTTCATTTTTCATCAGTCCATCTGATTGCTGGTGATACTAATATCTTGCATATTATTAAGTCTCATCATTCTTTGTGTAGAAATATAAACTTAGACCTAATAAGGTTTAGTTCTTTGGCTAAATGTAAACTTAATTTTTCTGAACTTGGAAAAAATTGAAGTAATATTTTCATCTCTAAGATGAAAAACTTTAGTCAACATTCATATAACTAAAATTAAAATTAATAATAGACGTTTATTTCCAACACACGTTGTTAAATATTTTAATATTTTTATAGATTCGAACTTCTCATGAAACTTTCATATAGATTCACTCCGTAAAAAACATAATCAAGCTAATGGCATGCTTTCAAAAATTTGCCATTATGTTGATAAAACTACCCTTAAGAATCTATATTTTTCAATTTTTCAATATCATCTCATCTACTGTTGTCAAGTTTAGGGACGAATTGGCAACTGTAATATTGTACACAAAAATGTTTTTTCGAATATACAAAAAAAAAATTTTTTGTTTCTAATTCAATAGATTAATGTTTACTCTTCTTTTAAAAATTTTTTGACACTGTTTTTTGTTAGTATATGTGTACAATCTATTTTTTCCTTAAGTGTCTGGGGTTACCCGACTTAACCCTACTATGAACTATTAAAATAAATTAGTTTATTTTAATTAGACATTAGTTTTGAAGTATAGGAGCACAGTTAGATTTACCACTAAAAAAAAAAACATTCTTTTTTTTTTAAAAAAAAACAGAGCCTCCTAAAAACATGATTTTTTGCTTTGGTATTCTTTAAATTTTAGATATTTATGAACCTGGAAACAGTTCCATCTCTATAACCATTTACATAACAATGTTAAAAAAAATACTGCAAAAGATAAGCAAAATTATGTTTTTTAAAGTTTTCTCTTTTATAATACAATTATTAAATTTTAAACATACTGAGGAAATGTCCATCAAGTATGTTAACAAAATAGTGGAGAAAAGTTGAAAATATTTGACAATTGTTTACAATGCGAAGCGGAGAAGTCAAGAAATGTTGACGCCAACAATGTTACTTATTTCTTGAAAGGGTTAAATGTTGACGTATTTTTACAGAAGAGGTGGGGAATGTGGAAAGTGTGGAAGTTTGACAAATTTTTGACTAGGGGGAGGGGAGGTAAAAATTGCAAAAATAATGTTGACATAATTAACAGATAACCACTAGGTTGTTTTTGAAGATTTAATTTTGTTAGTCTGTAATAGTTATTTTTGATCTTGTTGTTGTGTTACTCATGTTCTTATGTTGTTCATATGCTCCAATACTTTCCAATACAGCTAGTTAAACTTTATTGCTTCCATGAACAAATACGGCAGATGAAAACTCGTTTTGTTAAAAGTGTTAATTCACAGTTAAAAGCGAAACAGATACTCATTTTAAATACAGCCCCGGATTTAAACACAAGCAGGGTGTACCATGGCACAGGAGCCCCCACAAAAATAGGGTCCCCAAAAACTAAAGATAAAAAATTTAACTTATTTTTTATATTGAAGACTTGATTAAAGTGTATACTAATAATCAAGAATAAAATCTAAACAAAAAGTTATTGTGAAAGATGAACTGTGTGTGGTTATTTCAGAAAAAAATTCAAAAAAGTTTCAATAAAAAATCACGTACAGCAATTTTGACTTCAAAAAAAAGTTTCTAGTCACAGCCCAGGAACCATATCGGGGTATATCGGTTATCAAATGATAGAGTATTAAAATTAATTTATATTTCCTATAATGTGCATCTTGAAAATCAAATATGTCATGCAGAATAATCTATGACTTTAAGTCAAAGACAAGAATTTAATCTGGACATTACTGAACGGACTTACTGAACCGACGTTACTAAAATTTCTGTATGCTTGGTAATTACTAATTTAGAAACTAACCTTAATTAAGGTTGGTTCATTAAAATGTTTAAAAAATAATTTAAATTATTTTTTAAGTAATTATTTAAATTTTGTATTCATTACTGTATTGTATTAAATTATTTAAATTTTCTTTTGTTGACATTATAATAAATTTCAATATAACATGTTATAAGTTTTTTTAATTTAAAAAATCTAAAACTCAAAAAAAAAACAAAAAAACAAACAAACATAAAAAACCATAAAAAACAACAACAAAAAAAAAGAGATTAAAAAAAACGTTTTTTTTTTTTGCAACTCTTAGCACAATCGTCAATTTCTAAAAAAAGTCTTATATATCTAGAAATTTCTAATAAAAAAAGAGAACATTTAGAAAAAAGTTGGGGGAAGGAAGGAGGGGGGGGGGGGCAGATGCAAAACTTATTACACAGTTGCTAACTACCATTGTGTTTAAAGCAAAAGTTTTTTAATAAAACCAAAGTTTTGTACTTATTAAAACAATATTAAGTTTATATTTTTATTTTAATCTCAACGTAATTAACACTTTTTTTTTTGCGACGTTAACATTAATCAGCGAATAAAAAAGTTTCTTAACTTTACAATACCTGCCTAAATTTATATTTAAATATTTTACAAAAACGCTGAACATATAAAACAAAAATAAAATGCGTGAATATATATATATATATATACATATATATATATATATATATATATATATATATATATATATATATATATATATATATATATATATATATATATATATATATATATATATATATATATATATATATATATATATATATATACAGTGAATAAAAATGATATACAGCAAAAATAAGTTCGATTAAAAATTGTTATATATAATATTGATAGAATTGCTTCAAAAGAATTAAAAAAGTTTCAAAATATATATATTTTTTTTTTACTAACAATACTTTGTTGCTAAATAAATAGGCAAGTCTGCAAATATTTGAAACACTCAAAATATTATGCTATATGGTAAACTTTGCACTTTCAAAATAAATTTTCGTTTTTTAGTTTAAAGTAGCAAATAGTGGTTGATAAAAAACAGAACAGCTTAAAAACAAAGTTAAACTTAATAGCTTAATTAAAATAAAGTTAAATTGTAATAAAATTATTGGATTGTTTAATAAAATAAAACTCTAAAATAAAAACATAATAATAAAAAAAAAAAAAACACACTCAATTGCTTTATTGAAAAAAAATTCACTTTAAAAATCAAATTTCATCGCATATTGGCTTAAGTTCTTTGTTACCCATCGATACTTAACTTGACTTCGTTTTCCTAAAAAAGTTAAAAAAATAAATTTATTTATTTATATATATTAATATAACTAATAAAACTAAACTAAAACATGACAAAAAAAAAATAAAGATAACGAAAAATTAGAGTGTAATTGAAGTGACTTTAAAATAATAAAAAAAAAAGTTGATTAAAATATTTTTAAAATGTATACACTTAATCTTTCTCATTTTTATCTATAAGACGAATATATAACATATGACTACTTTTTCTTCACTATAGTAAATGGTAAATGCCAAAGAACAAACAAATAAAAAGTAATCGCTCTCAAATGCTTTACCTCTCGCAGTTACTAATCATTGAATAAATAGATTCTTAAATATTTAGTTTTGATTTTCAAAAATTGTTAAATTTTATTTTTTGCTAAGTTCACTTTCAAAATGGCTGCAAATAAACTTTATTTAAGATGAGAGTTAATAGAAAGAAAAAAAAAGATTCATTGAGTGATTGGCACTTTAAGTGAGGGGTGTGTGTGTGTGTGTGTGTGTGTTTAAACAATACATTTACATGTCTAATACATGTGTTTAAACCATACATTTACATGTCAATACATGTGTTTAAACCTTATCTAAAAGAGAAAAAAATATTAGACGTCATCAAGTACGGATAAGAAACTTAGACAAGTAGTTTTTTTTTAAAACAAATTTACTCTTGACAAAGCTGCAAGATACTACCATTAAATTGGGAGTTATTAGAAAACAATCAACAAAATTAAAGAGCTATGAAACGGTGACAGAAGACTTGAAAATATGTAGGTTGAGTATATGAGTCAAGAATAAAACAAAACAAAAAATAAAAAATTAAAAGAAAAATTGATGACAGAAGAGAGTTTCCAAGCATCGAAAGTAAGCATCATAAAAGTTTTTAGAGCATGAAAGAATAGATACAATAAGAGGATGCAACTTTGCTGAATGAAGAGTCAGGCCAGAATGAGTTTTTGTTGATAGAACTTGAGATATAGCTCGTTTGAGCAGAAACCATGATAGTATTTGCAGGAAAAGAAAAAAGAAGCAATCTTAAAACGTTGGGAAAAGTGGCTCAAGCTCAGCAGACAGAGCATGCCCAACCACATTTACAATAGTTAAAATAAAGTATCTTTAGAAGAACCAGCACAAGTACGACAACAATATTCGATACAGGGATAAATAAGAAAATAGTAGATGTAGAGAATGGACTCATGAGTAAGAAAAAGGCAAGTATGATAAATAGAAGATACTGCAATAGATTGTATATATAGTTTCCATTAAAATTTAACAGCAATTACTAGTCCAAGCTGTCATAGAAGAGAGATCCGATTCAAGATCAACGACATGTTTTTAATGATCAATAACGTTTTTCAAAACTGGAATATATAGTTGTCATCAGCAAATAGACCTGTTTTAAAGGTAAGATTATCAGGAAGATTACTAATATAGATCCTTATCTATATTAGTAATCTTCCTGATAATCTTACCTTTAAAACAGGTCTATTTGCTGATGACAACTATATATTTATTAGGACAACTATATATATATATATAATTATAACTATAACTATATATAATTAGTTAGGACAAAGAATAAAAGCTTTTGATTTCCCCAGAAGTTACTGGGAATGAAGAAGAGTACATGAGGCAAGCATATAAAGAAAATCAGCAAGACAGTTTTGATTGAAAGCTTTTAATATAACAAAATCTTTAGCCCTTGCCTGACCGCTTTCCTCTAAAAAATTTTATATTATGATAATAATATTGCCTGACAATTTTCCTTAATGCATAACAAAACTTCTTTTATATTATGGTAAACAAACATTTTGCAAGGGGGAAAATGCAGTTTTTTTTAGTTTTCCGAAAGTTTACATAGTTGGACTATTAGCCTCTTGAGCACTTTTTCTTCACTATAGTAAATGTGTTAAAAATGACACTTTACATGCTGTAGAGCAAAAAAGTAAAAAGTAATTGCTCTCAAATGTTTACCTCTCGAAATTACTAATAAGTGGATAAATAGATTCTTAAACATTTAGTTTTGATTTTTAAAAGTTATCAATTTTTTTTTCCAAGTTCACTTTCAAAATGGCTGCAAATAACTACTATTTAAGATGAGAGCTAATAGAAAAAAAAAAGTTTCATTAGAAAAAACTGAATTCTAAATAAAATACTAAATAAAATAAAAAAAACAAACTAAATACTAAATAAATAAAAAAATACTAAATAAATAAAAAAATTTGGTTACTCTTATATTATGATAAACAAATCAGCAGTAACAAAATCTGTATTAATTTTCAGATAGTAAGCTGTTAGTCTCAAAATGACATAAAAGTTTGGTAGTTTAAGACTCTAAGATCTAGTTACTAATCGTAAGAAGGCTGATTGGTAATAGTAAGAAGACTGATTGTGCAATATATATAGGGGTCAGAGGAAGTTTTTAATATTGGAATCAAAACCATTTGGAACCACCAATATTTTGGAAGTACCAACATTTTCCAGTAGGCAAGAAAAAATGATTTACTCAAGCACTTGTAAAATAGTTGAAAGAATACCCAAAAAAGTCAAATCAAAATTAAGAAAGAATTAGATAATAGCGAATTAGCTAATATGAGAAAAATAGAAATGTGAAGCTTTAAAGAAAAGGTGTGTAAAACATTAGAGACGTGAAATGGTCAAATGGCAACAAACAGCCTAAAATGGTAAAAAAAAGATTCAAGAAAAAAAAAGCTGCATTTAAAGTAAAATATTTAGGTTTGCAGTAACAACTGATGAAAGTGAAAATTATTGTAGACCAGAGAACGGATATTTGTGTATTAAAATGCAAACAAACTCAATTAATGAAGTTTGAGTAAATGATGGAGACAAGGCAATAAACTTCATTGTGACTTAGATTCAGAGTTAGTAGCCTAGTCGATTTGAGACTGAGAAGAGTCAATGGATTCATTAAGGAATCTAATGTCAATAAAAGAAGTCCTGGTACTTAAAGAAAAACAAGCCAAGGAAGAAGAACATTCAATTAAGGAATGAGAGATGCCATCACACATATAAGGGATGTGTGATGACATAGAGATAAGCATATTGACATTCAAGTTAACAAGAACACATAAAACACCCCAAAAGGATATGAGGTTTCATTCTTATTTCACAATGAAAATGGTGAAGTTCTCCTTTCACATGTTGATATAAAGGTCTATTAAAAAGGTGGTCCAATTAGAACAACACATTGGCTCTCACCAAGTAGTGATTTCATTATCCAGTTTATTTATTGCCACTGAAATTAGCTGTTAATGTGTCAACAAAGCATTTAATTAAAAGTGGAGTAGCAATTAATTAGTGTAGATTAATTAAAAGTTCTGTAGCTACTAATTTCAAAAAAAAAATGCTGACAATATAAAAAGAAATAGACTTAATTAGTAAGATGAAAAAGCCCATTTTTATTTATAATGGTATTCATAAGCAACCTTTTGTGTGCTTATGAATTAGAAAGGCTTTGATAAAGGTGTAGGAACAATGATACAAGTTTAATTAGCAGTTGAAGGTATAAATATATCTCATATTCATGACCCTAATAGGTCATGTTGCTGGGCATTTTATGTATTGTCAACTAATCCAAAGTTATATCTGGATTTTAAGTTTCAGAAAACATATTTTCTTACAATGATTTTAATATAAAATTTTAGAAAATTTGGAAAAATTAGAAGTGAAATTTTTTATGTTTCTATTTTGTTTTTAACAGGTGATTTACAGGTGAATTATGACATGATCTGACGACTTACAAAAGTGAAATGATGATTATTCTGCAAATCATTTAGACAATATTGAAGTTAAACCTATATGTGTTTTCTGTGAAGATGCAAAGCATTGAAGTGCAACTAGCTTACAATAATTTTATGCTGAGTCATTACATTTACTGATTATATATGTTTCTCTATTATGAGTCAGTCATAGACAAACATTTGAGTAATGCATGATTTTTTTATGCCAGTTAGCATTCATTATATCAATATGCCTCATTTATTTTATTATTAGTGTTATAAACTGCTATTTTGTATGGTGCCATTCCTACTGTTCAGAATGTCCAAGAAAAAAGAACTGATTGTCAACATTTTTAATAAAGCATTGACAAATCATTTAGTACCTCATGGAGAACCCCATTTCTGATCCACCTGCTAATTATACTCCGGAAGAAACAGATTATGATAGTACTATATTAGCTTTATTTTGACTCTTTTAACAACAAGAGCCACCAGCTACTGATCTATTGGGATGTAAAAGTAGTTGCCATCTTGCTGGTAATGCAAATGGTATACATAAAGTTTTTCTGTTTTCTATGTTTCTGTGTAGGTGGGATAGTAGAGCATGCTGTGACCTTTACAAAACAAAAGTATAGACTTTCCTAAAGATCCTGGATCTAGAAAAAAAATCACTAGCAGAATTTACTATAAAGAACTTTGTTTTAGCAATAAACTGATATGGTCAGGCTCAGAGAGATACCCAGACTGATTGAGGCAAAAATAAAGAAAGATGTTTTTACTGGTGTGTTTTACTAGATGTGTTTACTGGTGAATAAATATGTGAACTTCTAAAAGAAGAACATATTATTTCAGATCCTACAGGGTTTTCAGAGAAATGCCTAAAAATCCTTTAAACTAGTGCTTGAGGATCTTTTAGGAAAGTCTTGAGGATGAAAATGCTTGAGGATATTTTAGGAAAATCTTGAGGATCTTTTAGGAAACAAGAATGCAGATAACTATGAAGAATTTTTGACAAAAGTTCTCTTAGGCTACCAGATATTTTGACTTTTTTCCTGATAACTGTGGTGCAGTTAGCAATTAACTTGATAAATGCTTCCATCAGGACATAACAACAATGGAAAAAAATAACTTTTAAACACAAATTTTAAACTTTTGCATTAAACATGATACTTCAGTACTTTTTAAATATAAACAATAAGGTGATAGTAAAGTGATGTTTCAGAAATTTAGAGACCAAAAAGTAGCAAAAAATTTGGTATTTAAATAAAATTAACTTCATGAAGAAACAAAATACTTTTTCGATTTCTTCATCTTGAACTTCCTTAGCAGGAACCATTTCAACAGCTGGTTCAATGTTAGTTTCTAAAATTAAAAAAATATATATTAAATGCATACAGACAACATGGCTATTAATAAATATTAAACAATTACAAACATATTAGAAACTGCCTTAAAAAATAATTTACAAAGTCATTAACACAAAATACCATGACTTTCAATAACTTCATTTGCAGTTTCCATAGTTTCACCACTGGCTTGAAATATAGGAGGAATTTCTAAAAAAAAAGTAAAATAAAGCATCAACTTAAAAAATAAATTACTCTATTAAACTGTTAAATATATACTTGAATCTTCTTCAGTTGACATATTTGGTGGTATTTTTAAATGTGACATGGAAAGATTACTGGTGAGGATCTTTAATGGTTTACAAGAATCTAACTCGTTTATATTTAAAGACTTTGTTGGAAGACTCTTAGAATATATATTTTTGACAGTAGCCTGAGACAGCGAACTTTTTTTCCGTGTCTGGATAGATTGATTTTGTAAGATATTCTCTTTTTCATTTTCTTCTAAATAAATTAAAAAAAATTAAAAACTATTTCCTACTGTTCTAAAATTCATACTAAAATGAATGATTTATGAATTTTAAGAAAATAACAAAACTAGTAAAAACTAATCAAAATTCACAAAATCTAAAATAAAAAAGTTAAAAAGTTATACATACATAAGTATTGAAAATTATATGTACATATATATTGAAAATTATTATTAATATGTTTATCGAAAACTTTTTCCACACAAGAGTTATTTAAACTTTTTTCACCTTCCATTTCTGAAGATAATTTATTTTTTGATGATATTTTTTTAATAACTTTTGCTTCTTCTACTTTAGGGCTTTGCATATTGATTTTATTGTTTGAAGCAATGTTAGTCATGCGTTGCTCAACTGATTTACCTTCATCAACTTTAGGATCTTCTTGATTTATTTTATTGCTTGAAACAGCTTTAGTCATGTGTTTTTCAATAACTTTTGCTTCTTCAATTTGAGGATCTTGTTGATTGATTTTATTGTTTGAAGCAACTTTATTCATGTTTTTTTCAACAACTTTTGCTTCATCTATTTTAGTATCTTGTTGATTGATTTTATTGTTTGAGGCAACTTTATTCATGCGTTTAAGAACAAACTCCGACTTAAGGTTTTTTTCTTCATCAGTACTTGAAACATTTAAATTTTCCACTGCTGTTTTAACTAACTCTGCGGTATCCTCGTGTGTTTCGTTCAAATGGCGATCATTT